TCGCAGTATTAGAGCAGTCCCAATGAGAACAATATTCCAGAAGTGTTCAATCTTGACACTGACCATAATCTTCTCCAGCCACGTCGGGAGTTCATTACATATGGTACTCAACGCAACAACAACAATGAAAATGGCCTCCAATGACTTCATTGAGCACAACTTTTCATTTATTATTTGGAACTATTATAGTTTCAAAGTTTTTTTTCCTTTTTGTCGACAACTCTAAGAGCTGTGTGTATTTATTATTATTATTATTATTATTATTATTATTTCCTTTGATTTCTGCTGTATACACATTTCCTTGCAGGTTCCACCCAGTGACCTAAGGTCAGAAATGGCTTTATGATATGTTCCACTGCTCATTTTTTTTGTAAAAAAAAGCCCCCAAAACCCTATGACTACACATTTTACAATAATAAAGTGATGCTAATACATTTACTGAAAACAGTATACAAAATTAACTTTGCGTGTTACTGTAAAAAGTAAAGACAGAATAGCATAGAAAAAATAGCCACTATGCGAGTTATATTCTTAAAATAAGGATGACAGAATAGCAAAATATAGAAAAAATAGCCACTATGCGAGTTATATTCTTAAAATAAGGATGACAGAATAGCAGAATATAGAAAACAATAGACATTAGCGAGTTATATTCTTAAAATAAGGATGACAGAATAGCAGAATATAGAAAAAATAGCCACTATGCGAGTTATATTCTTAAAATAAGGATGACAGAATAGCAGAATATAGAAAAAATAGCCACTATGCGAGTTATATTCTTAAAATAAGGATGACAGAATAGCAAAATATAGAAAAAATAGCCACTATGCGAGTTATATTCTTAAAATAAGGATGACAGAATAGCAGAATATAGAAAAAATAGCCACTATGCGAGTTATATTCTTAAAATAAGGATGACAGAATAGCAGAATATAGAAAAAATAGCCACTATGCGAGTTATATTCTAAAATAAGGATGACAGAATAGCAGAATATAGAAAAAAATGCCACTATATATTATATTCTTAAAATAAGGATGACAAATAGCAGAATATAGCCACTATGCGAGTTATATTCTTAAAATAAGGATGACAAAATAGCAGAATATAGAAAACAATAGCCACTATGCAAGTTATATTCTTAAAATAAGGATGACAGAATAGCAGAATATAGAAAAAATAGCCACTATGCGAGTTATATTCTTAAAATAAGGATGACAGAATAGCAGAATATAGAAAAAATAGCCACTATGCGAGTTATATTCTTAAAATAAGGATGACAGAATAGCAGAATATAGAAAACAATAGCCACTATGCGAGTTATATTCTTAAAATAAGGATGACAGAATAGCAGAATATAGAAAACAATAGCCACTATGCGAGTTATATTCATGTATTAAATTGTAAGAATAATTGTTAATATTTTTTATGATTAAATATTGCATTTGCTAACCATTACACCGCCTCGGAGTGTCCACAGAGTTTTATAGTGATTTTCCAAACTTAGCTTAGATGTAGCACAAGGCCAAAAGTATGGGACACCCAGTGAGGATCGGATTCACTACTCAGTTGTAATTGTTCCAGCGAGACAAGCTTGTTAACCATTACACAGCCTCGAGGTGCCCACAGAGTTTTATACTATTGGAATTTATTTCAGATTTTTTTTTATTGCAGACGGGCATTAAATTTGATTACTTTAATTTTATCAATAATAGACACGAAAATATAAGAAAGACACATCGTTTTAACATACAATGCACGCCATATCTATTCGAGTATAGGGCGAGGTCTATGATCAGATTTTATGCAAAAATATTGGGTCGACTATACACAGGCAACTTTTTTGAAGGTGTTAAAAATCATGCATTTCCGGTGACCGATTGCACCATACACAGATAAATCTTTTTTCTTTTTTTACTTTTTATTTTTGTTGTCTGTAGGTGGTTAAAATTCATTCATTTTCAGGTACCATAACCTACCTTTTAGACCTACATTCTCGATGTACCTTTGGCTAACCTTAATGTTACAGGTATCACGCACAATATTTGACTACGGTAGGCCTACTATTATTGCTGAGAAACTGGGGCCGCATTATACACAAGCTATATGAAAATATCAGGTTTTGCGCACTAAAAATTCGGGGGGGGGGTCGTATTGTGCATGAAGTAGGCTTATACACAAGTATATATCAATTTATACTGATTTTTGTAAAATTTTGCAATTATGTTCTTGCTCTAAAAGGTTAAAAATATTCCGGTCCTACGAAGGAGAATGTAATTTCCTCTATTCATCCGGGTCTTTAAAAAATTTATTCCTTCATCCCTCAGGTTTGTTTAAACTTTAAAAATTTATGTAATTATTAGGGCCACGAACTTTTCAGCATCCTGGCATATATCTTCGAAATAAATGAACGGCAAATTATGTTTGTCTGTCCGTGTGTCTGAAACCCCTGAAACTTGGGCCAAATGTACTCTAAATAGACATATTATATCTTTTTAAAATCGGGATAATCCCGGGATTGAAAATCTGCAATACATCTGGTGCTTGAACATCCAGTATTGGGATTTGTGTCCGGGTGACAGTTAAGAATCCAAATTTTAAAATAACTGAAATAAATTGTGATTTTAAAAGATTAATAAATAATCAAGTTTAAACTTACACAAAAAAGTAAATTTTATTTGCATTTCTTGTTTTAAATTCAGTTTAAAATATCTCCAAAACTTCGTGAATTGAGTAAAATCAATTTTATTTCTTCAAAATGTAAGTTTCGTGAATTGAGTAAAATCAATTTTATTTCTTCAAAAGTAAGAGGTTTCATGATGTGTGGTTTTGAAGTTGCGCAAAGTTTGTGATTTGAAGAACTCAGCTCAGGTGAAGTTCCATAGAGTTTGTGATTTGAAAAAAAATTCGGCCTAGATGATTGGAATTTCGACCGAAATCAGACTTTCAGCCCAGATCGGAAATTCAGCCCAGATCGGAAATTCAGCCCAGATCGGAAATTCAGCCCAGATCGTTCTTTTGGACTTAAAGCCCGAATCAGATTTAAATTGAGGTTTTCAAATTCCATGGAGTGAATTGAGGAATTCAAAGTTATTTCTTCCAAACTATCATTTCTGGTTTCTAAGTTGGACCAGAGGTCCCTTTAATTTTAGGTCGGATGCCTAATTACCCCACCATTGTTGCTAAGAGCTAACTAGCTTAAACTATCTAAACTAAATAGCTTAAAAGCTTAAACTAGCTTTTAAGCTAGTTATCCTATAAAAACAGTAGCGTAAAAATGATGGCGATATTTCAATAACATTTCAAATGCATTGATTATATTTTCTGCATGAGTAATTTAGGGCTTTTATCGATGTACTTACGATATCGATACATTTAAATAATTCTACATTTAAATTATTAAAATTAAAAATACCCAACGAAGTCTAACACAGTCCATATAGTCAAAAGATAACGGCTATAGTAAATTTTCAATGACATTGTTTATATATTCTGCGTGATAAATTTAGGATATTTTAACCGATTAACTATACGTGACATCTGTCCTCCTTTACGGCATGGAATTTTGGACGGATTCCTTATAGATGAAAAAGAAACTCAAGGCGGCGGAGGTATAGTTCTACAGAAGGATGTTACGGATACCATGGACCGAGCATGTGAGCAACGATGAAGTTTTGGAGATGATGCAAACAAAGAAGAAGCTGATACTTAACATCAGGAAGAGGCAGCTGAAAATCTTGGGACAAGTAATGAGAAAGAATGTCGTGGAGAATCTGATACTCGCAGGTCGAATAGAAGGAAAACGAGACAAGGGAAAGCAACGCATGACATACCTGGCGTGCTTGAGCAGGTCGATGACAGGACATGGTCTGGGGGGAAGTAGCAGAGGGACAAAACTTATTGAGAGCTACAAGGCATAGGGAGAAGTGGAGAGCCATGATCGCTTACGTCCTGAAAGGACACGACACATAAAAAGAAAGAAAAATATTCACGTACAAGAAAACTTCTCTTTGTAAATCTCTAACACCAGAAATTTCCAAAGAAAGCAATCACAACACTTATAGAGAAAAAAATGGCGACTATATTCAAGTGTATTTTTATGTATGTATTTTTATCTATTTTCGTTTGTAGAAAAAAAAATCCCCTTTTTTTAATAAGTAAAACTAGGAATAATCCAATAAAACTAACACGACTCCTATCGGGAAAAATGCCGGCTATATTTGAGAGATTTATTACAATTGCATTATGTTCTCTACGGGAGTATAGAAATTTAGATGCATGTATTTGTATGTATCTTTTTTTGCTTGTAAGAAAAAGTCCTTTTTTAAATAAATAATACTAGAGATAATGAAAAAAAAAAAAAAAAAAAAACTAACACAAGCTCTACCGGGGAAAAAGACGACTATATTTAAGGGATTTTAAAAAATTTTTTCAGTGGGAGTAAATTAGGGTTTGTTTTTTTTTGTGTATCGATTTATGCACATAATAAATATATATGCATATAAATTCCCTAAATATATCTATACAAATTCTCTAAATTATTACCCCAGAAAGCATAATGCAATTATACAAATATCTTAAATATAGTTGTAAGAAAAATATTTTTTAAATAATTACAAGAAATAATAAAATAAAATAAAACTAACACAACTCATATCTGGAAGAAATGCCGAATATATTTCAGTGATTTTGCAATGACAAAAATGTCTTCACATTCCCGCATGTGCAATCTACAATTGTAATCTATGCACTTGTCGTAAAACTGATTTATTGAAGCAAGACCGAATTACGACAGAGGCTGCTTATACAAACTTAACTCTATTTGGATCGGGTCGAATCGACATCTTTTTGTTCCATTCTGTCGTCAGATATTTTGAAAAGAATATCCTGTCTATAGTATGCCACGATGGTTGATGTAGAAGAGAGAGGGCGAGCAAGCACTTGGGAAAGCTCTTCACCGTCAACTACTGACCAAACAGCAATAGTCATTTATTTCTTACACCTATTGTCGGGCGGCATATAAATGTCTCCGTGCGGGCATGAGTAGGGTTTCGAAATTCGTGACAGGATGATAAAAGAAAGAAGAAAACGAGCGGCATTTGGAGTGAAAGGAGGAGGAAAGTAAGAAGCAAAAAAAAAAAAAAAAATGAGAAGAGGTGGGAAGAGGAGAGACTGAATTGGAGGAGGTGTTTGTTGAACGCAAAGATGAAATTTCGAACGCTGATTGGTTGTTACGGCAGCTGAATTGATTGTAAAAAATGTCGTTAGTTTGAAGGAATGTTAAAGTGGGAGGAGCACTAATATGATGATGAGACCGAGGGAAGAGGAGAGGAGAGAAGGGGAGAGAAAAGAATATTAAAGAGAGATGGAAATGAGAATTTGAAGAAGAAACAGAGTAGAGACGAATAAAGTAATTAAATAAATTTGAAAAAAAGAAAAGAAAATATGGGAAAAAAGAAAATAGATTGACAAAAAGAAAGATAAATACTGGAAAAAGAAACGAGAAAAAATTGAAAAAAATTATAAAAATGAAAATAAAAAATTTGGAATGAAAAAGAAAAGATTGAAAAAGAAAAAATAAGTGAAATTTTGCAAAAACATGAAACGAAAAAAGATTGTAGAAAGAAAAGAAAAAATTACAAAAAAAAAAACAAAGAAAACGTTTTTTTAAAAAAAAAAGAATGGAAAAAGAAAAGAAATGTAATTGGGAAAGAGATTGTAAATAGAATGGAAAAGAGAAAAAATGATAGAAAAATGAGTTAAAAACTGGAAAAAGTAAAGAAAAATACAT